AACTGCCTGGCTGCCTTTTATAGTGGTGAGGATTCTTCCCTTCACAGTTTATTGGAGCTTTTTAACAGGAAAGCAATTGTGTGTTTTTTTTATTTGTTGTGTTTATTTGGTATATCACATTAATTGATTGTTGGATGTTAAACCATCCTTTCATTCTGTACAGATGAGGGATAAACCCTATTTGGTTTTGGTATAAAGTCCTTTTGGTTTGTTGTTGGAGTTAGTATGTTAATGTCTCATTCGGCATTTTTACATATGTGTTCTACAGAGGTTGGCTGTAGTTTTCTACTGTAATCTTGACTTTTATTAGGGTTTTTATGGAACACTGGCCTTGCATAACCAGCTGGCAAGTGTTTTCGCAGAGCTGATGCAGAATGGTATTTTTTCCCCATAAATGTTAGCTAGAATCCGTTAGTGGAGTCACATGGCCTTCTGTGGGAGGATTCTAAATCACACCTTCGATTTCTTTTCTTGCTATAGTTCTACTCAAAGCTTCTGTTTCTTGGCTTTGCCTTTCTTGGAGTATGCTCATGTCCTGTGAGCTGTCTGATTTGTTTCTCTGAAGGTCATAACATTCTTTTACTATCCTTTTGGTTTTACACATAGATGTACATATATGCTGCGATTTTACACTATCTTAAAAGACATTAAACTTTTTTTTTTTCTGATTGATTGATTGATTGATCTTGTCTTTTTGAGAGTCTCCCTGTAGCCCCAGCTGGCCTCAAACTCAGTATGTAGACCAGACTGGCCTTAATCTCAGAGATCTGCCTGCCCCTGCCTCCCAAGTGCTGGGATTAAAGGCATGTGCCATCACGCCCGGTTTTCTGATTTATTTTTTATGTATATGAGTGTTTTGTCTGTATGTGTGTACGTGCACCAGTGTTGTGCAGTGTCTGTGGAGGTCAGAAGAGGGAGTTGGATCCCCTGGAACTGGAGTTAGAGACAGTTGTTAGCCTCCATGTGGGTGCTGGGAACCATGCCTGGGGCCTCTTTAAGAGAGGCCAGTGTTCTTACCTGCTGTGTCACAACCCCCCCTTAACAATTTAAAATCACTGTATCATAGGCCCTGACGTACTTTAGCATATTTTGTATGACCGCTGCCATTTGGAGGGCTGCTTCTCTCAGAGACTCTGTGTATCGTGATGCTGAGGCTATGAACCCTTGGCCTCAACTATGCTAGGCAGGTGCGGCTGCACCCCAGCCTTTGCAGTTCTTTCTAACAGAAGCCGTCTGATTTTGGGATCCACTAGAACTCTAGATGCTTTGAATTATATAAAGCTTTAAGCATGGCTGCCATTGCCTGGCTCCTAGCCTGTGGTCTGCTCTGTGGGCAGGCACAACGGCTCACGTGGACAGCAGTGGGCCTGTGTGATGCTACCCCAAGACTTTACAGCTGAGGAGGTGACCCAGGAGAGCGCCTGTGCCTTGCTGACATCTGCAGTGGCATATTGAGTGTTTTGTAGCTGGGGAAATTTTGGAAACATTGGTCTTAGCAGTTAGTTACTCTTTAAAGAGAAGATTGTGACTACTACTTTGAAAGCTGAGATTTGAGTTTTCTGTATAAAATGTTTAGCTTTGTCATGCTGTGAGATGTCTGCTTCTTTCAGGCCTTGTTATAAGTGAGCTGTCCTTGTTGAAGATGACCTGCTTGTTTCCCATGCATGGCTGAGAAAGGGGAGAGGGACATCTGTACTCCTGAGGAGGAGGGGGTGCATCCCTGACTGGCAGGGTGCTGCAGAGGGACTCTGGGGGGTGCTAGCCCTGGAAGGTGTGACAGACCAGGACCATGGCAGACCCTGGCTTCTTCTTTACTCCAGCCTTGGTCTGCTGAGTGGGGAGAACTTGGTCCCTAGTGCCTGCTAGGGGCAGATTTCTCAGACGTTGAGGGATCTGCTGCAGTTCAGAGCTGACAGTCAGTTATTCTTGTGAAGTCTGACCTAACTTTTTAAGTTGGATGTATTGGGAGGCTGGAGAGATGGCTCAGCAGTTAAGAACACTGGTTGTTCTTGCAGAAGGCCCGGGTTCGAATCCCAGCACCCACATGGCAGCTAACAACTGTCTGTAACTCCAGTCCCACGGGATCCAACAGCTTCTTCTGTCCTTTGCAGGCATTGCACAACACGGGTGCACTTACCTACATGCAGGCAATACACGCATACACGTAAAATAAAAAAAATAAAATATTTTTAAAAAGTTGGAAATATCTGGCCTCTGTATTACCACCTGTGGGCTTTACAGTCTGAGTCTGAATTGTGTGAATCCTTGTTTGCAAACCTGGGCTGGCTTTCGTGTGCTGTGAGGTGGGTAGATGGATAGGCAGGGATGGCCTCTGTCCCTGATGTTAGCCAGGTTAGCTGTCAGGGCCATGCTATCTTTTTTTTTTTTTTCCTCTGAGTAAGAGTCTCCCTTTAGCTCCAGCTGGCCTAGAACTCACTATATAGACCAGGCTGGACTTGATCTCACAGAGATCTGCCTGTCTCTACTTCCTGAGTGCTGGGATTAAAGGCGTGTGCCATCATGTCTGGCCTGTCCTCTTTATTATTTTTATTTTATGTGTATGAGTGTATTGCCTGCATGTATGTGAGTGTATCCGTGTTGTGCAGTGCCGCGGAGGTCAGAGAGGGCTTCGGATTCCCCTGGAACTGGAGTTAAGGACAGTTTGTAGTTGCCATGTGGGTGCTGAGAATTGAACCTGGGTCCTCTGCAAGAGCAGTCAGTGCTCTTAACTGCTGAGCCATCTCTCCAGCCCCTGTCCTCTTTTTTAAATCCTGGATACAGACCAATTTCAAGGTTACAGCATACAGTGCTTGTGCTGTGTGTGTGTATGTGTGCGTGTGCGTGTGTGTGAGAGAAAGAGAGAGAGAGATCCTTCTGCTCAGATGTTTCTCTTCCACTGGCAGCTGAGTGGGGTTCCTGAGGTACGTGGTTCAGAGTCCTCGGGTCCACTGGCAGCTGAGTGGGGTTCCTGAGGTACGTGGTTCAGAGTCCTCGGGTCCACTGGCAGCTGAGTGGGGTTCCTGAGGTACGTGGTTCAGCGTCCTCGGGTCCACTGGCAGCTGAGTGGGGTTCCTGAGGTACGTGGTTCAGAGTCCTCGGGTCCACTGGCAGCTGAGTGGGGTTCCTGAGGTACGTGGTTCAGAGTCCTCAGGTCCACTGGCAGCTGCTTTTCAGCTTGCCCAAACTATAGTTTTTCCTGGTGACATCACTCCAAGGCCTTTTTAACTCATAAGGAATCAATGAGGGGCTCGAGGGGAACCCCTGTATCATGAGCCCAAGTTTTAAAGACTGTCCACTGAGCGTTAGGAATGTCCCAAGCTATGACATGTTTCAGAGGTGATAGCTGATGTCCTGAGTCCTGGGTTGCCAGTTATGGCACCCAGTATGTCCAGGGATATTGTGTTTCATGTTGCATTTCTAGAGTGAAGTAAAGTTACTGAACTTTGGACTAATCACTCAAGGATTAGGGTTGAGCTGATGGAAGAAAGGGTGGTGGTGGAAAGAACAGAAGGAAGATAGTGTGACTTCTGCCATGGGGCTGTGAGTGCCAGTAGTTAGGCTGTGCTTGGCTGATGTCAGATCCCAGATGGTAGCTGACACCTTTGGGCTACTCTGTCCCACCCAATGAGTTTGGAGACATAGGCCTCTCGTGGCTCCGGTGCCTGGCATGGCTGGTACTGCAGGATCCCTGTATGACAGATTCCAATGGTTGTGCCTCGTGATGCTCTAGCCTTCAGGTCAAGCCCCATGCTGTCACTGACTGTTCTGAGGACATCTTCCTGAGCAGCTTGGGGTTTGAGGAGCCAACAATATTTTTGTGTATATAGGAGTATGGGAAGGGGCTGGCAGAAAGGGTCTAGTATAGATGAATAGAGGCTGACAGGACCTGGATTTTGCATTTAGTGGATATGCATATGTGTGTTTTTTGGGTCTTTGCATGTGTAAGTTTATACATGTGTGTTTATGCCTATTTTTATATGCTTTGTTTGCACATGTTTATGTGTATGTTTAAGTATTTTTGTATGTGCTTATTTCTTGAGACTGGGTTCTCCTTTGTAGCCCTGGCTAGCCTGGAACTTGCTTTGTAGGTCATGGTGACTTTGAATTTGCAATCATCTTCCTCCTTCTGTCTCCTGAGTGCTGGGATTGCAGGGATGAACTGCCGTGCCCACCTGTGTTTATGTTTTTGCATGTGTGTATGTGGAATCAGTGTGACACAAATGTTATAGTGAAAGAACCAGAGTTCTAGTGAGAGGTGACCAGTGTTCTAGTGAGAAAGAGCTAGTAGCCTAGTGAGAATCAAGTGTTTCGGTTTTTTTGGCTGATATCCTCCAGCTTCATTTGTAGTGCTGTGTACAGAGTCTGCATGTGGTGGTGGCTGCCGTCACAGGGAGGGTGAGCTGGAGGTACCAGATCCAGTGGTAAACTTTGGGAGTGGCTGTGAGGATCAGAGTGGGGAGGACCCTCCTGCTTATGACTAAGGTAGATGTGAGTAAGGACCCCTTACCTCTGTGTGGATCATTTGGTCTGTCACTTTTATCCTTTGATATCTTTATTTGTACACAGGTAATAGTGTCGACTTTCCCAGCGCCTCCTTGTAGCCTAGTTCAGTCTGTGTGCGTTGCAGGTTAGGATTTGGCCCCTGGGGGGACTAGACCCCTTCCATGTGCTCCTGCTGTGAGGGCACCTGTTGGAAGGGCTCTTTTCCAGCCCTTTTCTTCTCTTGGTGTTCAGTGGTGTGTGCTCAGAGAGAAAATTCTGGAAGGTCAATGAGTTCTGATAACTTGCGGGTTTTTTTTTTTTTGTCTTTTTGAGACAGGGTCTCCTTGTAGCGCCAGCTGGCCTGGAACTTGCTACATAGACCAGGCTAGCCTCGAAATCATAGAGATTCACCTACCTCTGCCTCCCAAGGGCTGGGATTAAAGGCATGTGCCACCACACCTGGCAATTTGTGTATGTTTTAAACTTTCACCTGTATTTTAAACTTTTTTTTTTTTCAGGCCCAAATATTTAAGCACGGAAAACGGGAAGATTGTCTACCCTATGGTAAGATTTAAGATGAGCTTGTGTGACGGGTGATTGTGGGTATATAATCAAGGTACTGCTTTAACTCTTTATTCATTGGTGTCAGAATCTGTGTATTTGGACACAATCATAGCTCTTGGACTTTCTGTTTTGTGGCTTTAATAATGTCACCTGATTCCCCCTCCTCACCTTATTAATTTTGATAAATCGTCCTAGTTATTTGAAACATAGGAAATTGCTGAAGGCCTTGTATTGAAGATCTGAGTTTTATAGCCCAACAAATGAGCTGATTTGATTCTGGGAAGGCCTGGTCATGGTGGGCATAGACCTAAGGTCACCACTGTCTCTTGGGACCCTACAGTGGCCTTGTTCCCGTTACCTCATTTCATTCTCACTGCCTCATCCCCCTCCATATGACCTCCTCACCTCACCCTCCTCCCAGTTACCCCATCCCCCTCCTCCTCACCTCATCCCCCTTCCCATCATCTCATCCCCCTCCTCACCTTATCCTCCTCCCCATCACCTCATCCCCCTCCTCCTCCCCGTCACCTCATCCCCCTCCTCCTCACCTCATCCCTGTCACCTCATTCCCCTCCTCCTCACCCCATCCCCCTTCCCGTCACCTCATCCCCCTCCTCATCTCATCCTCCTCCTCCTCACCTCACCTCATCTCCCTCCTCCTCCTCACCTCCTCCTCCTCCTCACCTCATCCCTCTTCCCGTCACCCCATCCACCTCATCCCCCTCCTCCTCCTCACCTCATCCCCCTCCTCCTTACCCTCCTCCTCACCTCACCCTCCTCCCCGTCACCTCACCCATCACCTCATTCACCCTCATTCCCATCACCTGGTCCTGTCCTCTCTGCCCAGGCTTCTGGTGATATTGTAACCTGTCTTTTTTCCCCCTCTCCCCGATTGGCCTCAGTTTTGTCTGTTTTAGGTCAGGTCTGTCTCTGAGACCTAGCCCTGTATTTCTATCTCAGGCTTTCTCTGTCTCTACAGAACATCTTAACCTTTGTCCCCTTTCTCCCCGAGTCCCCTGAATGGCCTGTGTAGCCCAAGGCCCTACCTCGGGCCTCCTGTGTGGGAGGTCTTCCCACCATGCTCGCCTTGGGCTCAGCCTCCTGCCCCAGCCTTCTTCCAGTCCAGTGCTGAGTGAACGCTTTATGAACACAACACACCTCAGAGGCCCCTGCATGTGCACAGCCTCTTCTGGGCGCACTTGTCTGTGTCCCTCCGCCCCACATGATCGTGATTGCCTGCAACAGGCTGCCTTCCCCTGTGCTCAGGGCGTTTGCTACCTTCTGCTTCCTGGTGAGGACACCAAGCAGGCTCCATTCTAGCTGTTCTTGGCTGATGTTCTGGAGAGAAGGGGTTCTTGCCGTCAGGACTCAGGGATTCGGCATGGCTTGGTCATCACCTGCCCTGGGCCTGTGGGACTGGCTGTTCTCAGGGGTGTGTACCACTTCCTGCCTTATCGAGTCGTGTTCTCTCACCTGTAGCGGACACTGTTCTCCAGTGCCTTGATGGATGCAGACTCCCTGAGAGCAACCAAACCTTGCGGAAGCTGGGTGTGAAGCTTGTCCAGAGGCTGGGGCTGACCTTCCTGAAGCCAAAGGTGGCCACGTGGAGGTGAGACCTGACGTTCGTCTTAGGGGTGATGGTTGCCTGGGCCGAACAGCGTATGATATCCTCTACATTCAGTTTTCCTTTGATGCCTGAAGTCCTTTCTGGTTTTGAAAGGAAGGAGCAGTTTTCCTTTTACCATTTTCTGACTCTACATCTTGAGTTAGAATAGCCAAAAGAAGAGTGTTCCTGGGGGCTTTGCTCCTGCTTTTCCTGTGAGGATTGCTTAGCTGCGGCCGCAGGCTGCTGATTTCAGCTCCTGGAAAGCTTTCTGATCCGTGATCTCTAAACTGTAGGCTTCTCTGGTGAAAACCAGGCTCACTCTTCAATATTTAATCAGAAATGCAAGTGTCTTTGTCTGTCGGTGGGGATACTGCTTGGTTTTTACAGATTCCTCTCATGTCCTTGCAGTGCTTGTTTTCTTTCTTTTCCCTCCGTCTCCCCTTCCCTCCCTCCTTCTTTTCTTTTATTGAGACATAGTCTAGCCCAGGCTGGCCCTGACCTCGTGATTCTTGCCTCGGTCTGTAAGTGCTGGGATTCCAGACATGTGCCACCATGTCTTGAAAGTGCTGTGGTTTTTTTTTTTTACATGAAATAACAGTCATTATGTGCCCACTGTAAGCCATCCATGATTCTAATTCATTTGGTGCTTGATTTTTTTTTTTTTAGAAGAAGCATTTCATTACAGCTTTAACGTACTCAATAACAGTTTCCAGAGCAAAGATACGTCTCTTTCAAAAGTGGCTATAAAAATTTCAGGTTTGCTGTTGAATTAATACAGTTATACAATAATGAACTCACTATAAGCCCTGACATAAAATTGAATGAGTTTTTAACCTTTAAAAAAGATCTCCATTTTAAAGCATACTGTTTCTTACAGAAAGACTCATTGTTTTTGCTAATAACACCGTGATGTTGGCACATGCGTCTCTAATCTGTATGTATCTGATTATTGCTAGTCCTAATCAGTTATCCCTGGATCCTTGGCACCTGTGTATGTCTATAAAGTCATCGGGTAGATT